CAAAATAATTTTTTTGATAATATTCTTCTACAATCATCTCTTTTGTTAATACTTCATCTAGTAAAGGTCCTTCTGATAATGTTTTATCTCAAAATAATATATTCAGATAGTGTGCCATAGAGTTTAAAATCTTTTTGATAATGTTCCAACTTCTACAATAATCTCTTTTGATAATATTTTTTCTACAAAATTGACCTGCTTTTTAATAATGTGCCATCTAGTAAAATAGGTTGTTTTGCTAAGAAGTAGAAGGAACAATTTTTTTTTCATAAAAATTATGTATATTACAATATATATATATATATATATATATATATATATATATATATATATATATAATCATACTAAAGTCTCCTTTAAGATAGCTCTAAAGTATATACAAGAATATTAAAAAAAATAAAATCATAAAATTAACCTATTGTTGTATGTATATATATATATATATATATATGCAATTTACTATATATATTATTTATATATTATATATGCGTGGTACTTATTGGAAAGGGCTAAATATCAAGTGATAGAGCTAACATATTTAGTTGGATAGATGTGAATTTGTGACCCTGGGTTTCACGCTTTTGCGATCGCCAGACAAACTGATTAATTAAAAAAAACTGATGAATTTAAAAATAAAATAACAATAACCAGTTTGTCTAATCAGATGGCGCAAGGTCAGGTGAATAAGGTGGATGGCACAAAGTCTCCCACCCAAGTTGCTGTATGGTATCCCTGACCACTGGCGCGACATGCAGTCTGGCGTTGTCATGGAGGAAAAGCACACCTTTGCGATTCACCAGTGCTGGCTCCTTCTGGCGCAATGCCTGTTGCACACGTTTCAATTGCTGAGTGTATAGGTCTCCAGTAATCGTTTGGCCCGTTGGTAGTAGTTCATAATGAACCACTTGATGACCTATCTACCAGACACAAAGCATAATCTTGCGTGGGTGCATAGGCGGCGGTCTTGCGGTATGAGGGAGAGCATCCTGAGGAGACAACCAATATCTGGAACGCTTGGGAGTTTCGTACAGAACCCACTTTTCATCACTGGTAAGCACTCGATTGAATAAGGATGCGGTACGGTGGCGAGAAAGCAACGATATGCAGGATGCCACTCGTTGTCCCTTGTGAACCTCCAACAGCGTTTGCGGATCCCACTTGCTCAGTTTGTACGTCTTACCTAGGCGGTTCAGGTGAAGTCTAACTGTTTCATCGGAAACGTTGAACTGTCTTGCAAGTTTACCACACGCTAGACTACTGTCCTCTTCAATGGCCGCCTTCAGGACTCCGTCTTTCAAGACCTGTGGTCGTCCACTGCGAGGCTCATCAGGGAGAGACAAATCTCCCGACTTGAATTTTCGAAACCAACCCCTTGCAGTACGTTCATCCACAGAAATATCCCCAAACGCTTGACATATACAGCGATTTGATGCAGTTGCTATTAAGCCCACTTTGAAGTCATAAAGCAAACAGCCCCGAACGAGATCTCTAGACTCTTCCATCCTTCTCACTTTGTCCGGCTTATAACTGATGGCCGGGCACGGTGCGCGTGTTTTTTATAACGTCTGATGTTTCTACTTCCGGCTGTCCGAATTTGAAAACAATTGCTACACGCATTTTGTATATATTTCAGCTTCATTCAATCACTAATGAAAAAACTTTTTTTGTTACCTTGTACAATGTTTTTTTTAGTTTTTCATTCTTTCTTTCTTTCTTTCTTTCTTTCTGACCTGCCATTGCGTCTTTCTTTCCTTCTCGTTTTTAGATCTTTCATTCTTCCTTTCTTTTTTCCTTTCTTCTCCCTCTTTCTTTATTTCCTTTTTCTTTTCTTTGCTTCCTGTTTTTCTTCCTTTCGTTCTTCTTTTCTTTCTTTCTTTCCTGCATTTCTTTCTTTCATTCTTCTTTCTTTTATTTCCTGTCTTTCTTTGTTTTTTTTCATTCTTTCTTTCTTTCCTGTCTTTCTTTCTTTCATTCTTCTTTTCTTTCATGCAATTCTTTCTTTCTTTCTTCTTTTCTTTTTTACTTCTCTTTCATTCTTCTTTTCTTTCTTTCCTTTCTTTCTTTCTTTCTTTCTTTCTTTCTTTCTTTCTTTCTTCTACTCATGGTTTGTTTACTTCCTGTATTTAGGGTTACGTTAATTCATGTCCCTTTCTTTCATTCATTAACAGCAAATATTTAACACATATATTAAATAAACAACAAATAACACCTATACACCGTGTGTGTTCACCCGCTCAAAATCTTAAAAAAAAGTAAAACTTTAACATCAATTAAATACTTTTCCTTTTACATCTAGATGCAGGTGTTTATTTTTATCTTACATATATGAGCATTTTATGATTAAAGTATAACGATTTTCCATCTCAATAAATAATTTAAATATCTGTTTATTAAAGTAATAACTTCATAAACCTTCTTAACACATATTTTTCAGTTTTTCATGTTTATGTGTCTTTCTTTGTTTAGATGAAAATGTTTCTAGGATTTTCAGTATCATATAAAACCAATCTAATTTATTTTGACCAATTAAATGTGAGGTCTGCAATTTGCCGTACACATATTTTCAAACCACATCAAGAGTACGACAGTTAGGAAATGAGAACCAAAGTTTATTTGATATTTTTCTTGACTATGCTTTTCGTATATACAAGCCCAGATATGAAACGATGGGCAATGATCATTTAAAGATTCCATACCAAATCAGCCAAAAATATATTAATAGAAAACAGAGATCCCGCTGTTCCTCCCAAGGCCATTGTGCCAATGATAAAGTGAGTTTTGCCGATGATATAAGTTTTAATATTTGAGAGACGAATGATGTTCAACTAAAAAATCAATATCCTGTACCAAGTATTCCAAGAAATAAGCTTCGATATAACTTTGATCTGGATTTGAATTGAAATGAAAGCAGTGATGGTAGCGACACTGAATCCATCGTAACAATTCAGGATATCTTCCAGGAAGGGTATTGGTTACGCCTTCTCGGGTTAGCGTTCTCTGTTGACATGAAGTGGAAAGATTATATTGAATCACTTTCTAGGTCTGTTGCTAGGAGAGATTTTTCACTCCTTTATGCAAGACAATTTTTCTCTCCAGAATCTACCGTACAGATTTATAAGTCTACCATTCTTCTTTGCTTTGGATATTGCTGCCAAATTTAGTATGGTGCTCCTGTTATATATTTAAAGATTATTTTAAGACATTTTTATGTTTATACATTCTTTTTATAGATACAAATATTTAAGTAAATGCTCTGTTTATAATAAGCAGTATTAAACAACATTTACTGGCCTGAATTTCCGAGAAATGTTCATAGAAAATATTCGTCCTCCGAATTTTCCGGACAAAGGAAATTGAACATAGAATAGGCTCCGCTATGGATAGTTATGACCAAAACGCAAAAATATTAGCATAAAATCTCGTTTCATGTTCTGAAATAATCTTGTCAGATCGTTTCTTTCATATGGATGTCCTGCATGACTTCAGAAATATCTAAACTGTCAGATGTATAGAATCCCTTTCTAAGCTTAATGGTTGAAAATGGCTTTGATCGAGTGGTTCTAACCTTGTGGACAATACATCAACATTAACTTGGAAGCTCGACTTATGTCCTTAAATAGTCCTATCAGCTCGAGATTTTCATGTGGATGGCATACACCAAATCAGTTCAGAAATATCTAAACCGCCGATCCTACAGATCAGACATTAAAAATGCCTTCGAACGAATATTTCTCAGTCCATGCAATAACCATTTTTATTAGAACTTTGTGGTCAGGCGCTACACAATCATAAAGTATACCACATGACAGAAATCACATCACTTCAGATATTCCAACAGTCGCTACAATTAAAATCCCATGTAACTCGAAGAGAAAATGACATTACCAACATGTTGATACTTCACACTACTTCAAATAAAATGTTAGGATGAAAACCCTCTTCAATATAGAAAATTGTGATAAAAGGTAGTGGACTTGAGTAAACTGTTTTCTTGCAAGGTTGATTTAAGAGTGATATGACCCGGAAAGGGATATATTTGTTCGAAGTGGCAAAGTGGTTTTGGACTACTGTAACCAAGTAGGACAATCTAGCAGGTAACCGTAATGGACTGGTCCTCGTCGTAGTGGTAGGCAATAGGCGTGGCCAATAGGCGTCCTCGATATACATCGTCCCTGTACCTCCACATCAGTTTGTATTTATGGCTGACACCAGCCAATCATATTACTCTGAGGGGGAACCCAGGTGTATGCATATTCATTACTTCAAAGAGATTTTTTTAAAAATTTCAGCCAATAACGACACTGGCTGCTCGTTCAATGAATGCCAAATGTTTCCTTATAAGGAAACGCCTAATATCACCATTAATATTACCATCTTGGGCTATGCCCTTTAATAACAATTACACATCCTGATGTTTAGTCATTTCCTTTCTCTTCAATATGAGTCTTAATCCTTACTTTTTGACACGAAAATTGTCGTCGGACATTGATTACTAATGTACAAATCATTCAGTGTTTGATACAAAGGAAAAAATATTTGCATGAAGAATATGTTTTGTTAAAATGGAAAGTTTCTGTCAACTTGCTTTAAAATCAGCATTCAAAAGTCCTATCATGAACATAAACCGGGCATCTATTAACGTTATTTGATTTAAATCAGCAAGTTTCAGGAGCACAATTGTGATAATTTTCATTAAAGCAGAAATAGACTTCCGTATACGCTTGGGGACCTCTCCGCCAATCTTTCGTTTTTTTTTTTCTGATAGGTTTCACTTGTTGACGTTGTGAATTTTCTTTCCAGCAATAAAAATAAAACATTCACATTGTAATTTATTCTGGTTACTTAAGGTGAGGAAATCATAAAAAAATAATATGCATGCAAAAATATCAATGACTTGATTTCAAGAAGAGAATATTACAATCATGGCACAACGTATTCTGGGGAAAAAAATGTCAAATTCTGTCCAAAATGTTTAAGGCAATGATTGAATGTAGTGAATGTCATAAAAGAAAGAAAGAAAGAAAGAAAGAAAGAAAGAAAGAAAGGAAAAAGAACGAAAGAAAGAATGAAAGAACGAAAGAAAGAATGAAAGAACGAAAGAAAGAATGAAAGAAAGAAATAAAATAAAATGAATTCATGAATAAGGAAAAAGAGAGAAGTGAAGGGAAAAAAATAAACGGAAAAAGGAAAATTATAGAAAGGAAGAAAAGGATAAACAGAAAAAAGTGAAAAAAATAGAGAACACCATCTTAAAAAGAAATAAATAAAGAAAACGAATACATAAATAAAGAAAAAGAAAAAAGCAAAGCAAGAAATAGAAAGAGAGAAGAAAAGTAAAAACATTATCAATAGAGATACGAATTAAAGAAACTAAACCAGGGAAATTATAGAGAGGATGAAAGGATAAACGGAAAGAAAGAAAGAAAGAAAGAAAGAAAGAAAGAAAGAAAGAAAATGAGAGACCAACATTAATAAGACAGCAACATCTTAAAAAAAAAGAAAGCAAGAACGAAAAAAAAGATAGACAGAAAGAAAGAAAGGTAGAACGAAAAAATGAAAGAATAAAAATAAATACATAAATAAAGAAAACCAAGATAAAAACGAAAAAAATAAAGATTATCAAAAGAGTTGCGGAGGAAATAGAGTCAAAGAAAGTGAAATTAAGTGAAAGGAAAAATGAAATAGAAAAAAACGAATTTAAGAAAGAAAGATAGAAAGAATAAAGAAAGAAAGAAAGGCCTTAAAAAGAATAACAGAATAAAGAAAGAAAGAAAGACCTCAAAAAGAATAACAGAATAAATAAAGAAAGAAAGACCTTAAAAAGAATAACAGAATAAATAAAGAAAGACCTTAAAAAGAATAACAGAATAAAGAAAGAAAGGCCTTAAAAAGGAATAACAGAATAAAGAAAGAAAGACCTTAAAAAGAATAACAGAATTAAGAAAGAAAGAAAAAAAAGAATAACGAAAGAGTAGAATCCTATAAAGGAAGAAAGAAAGAAATGGGGAAAAATTGAAATGGCAGATATAAAAATGATAAAAATGAAAATATTGGACACAAAACTGCGGGGAGGTACAAATTGTAATTTTAATTTCAAACCCGAACCCTTCTTTTATTTCAAGAGGGAATCAAAATGATTTAATTCAAAAAATAGATACATGAAAAAAAAAAATGAATTACTTGAAATCAAAATAAAATAAAAAAAATACCCTAAAAGTTTCATTTTGACGCTGATATGCATTATTAATATCGGTAATATTTCTCTAATTGAAATGATAACTTTTTAAAAAATCCCTACAGCAATAACGATGTAATATCATTGGCGTTATTAAGCATATTATCAAGAACTCCACGGAAACGACAATATATCTGTAAAGATATCGTTGTAACTGCTACGTATCATGACTACCTCATCCGACCACGAAAGAGAAGGGCGATAACGCAAAATGTAAGCCAAACATCCTTGAAAGAAAAAGAATAGAAAGTTCATCGATTCAGCGTTGGAGATTTTAGGATGCGTTTTCTCAATTGATCTCAGGCAATGGTGGCAGGTATCGCTGCCATGGTGCTTCAGATACTAATAATCAATCTAATTGAACAGGAAACGGAGCGAAAGAAACGAAAGTAACAATTTAGAAATAGAAAAAAAATATTTATCAAAAATAACTAAACGACAAATGTGTAGTTCGCGCCATTACATTTTGCATACAATTATTTCTTCTGTTTTCTTATATATAATTCTTATATTTAATTATTAATCCTTTCTGCCTTGCTTTTATCAACCGTCTTTTCTCAAATTTTATTTGATCTTTTGGATTTTCCATCAAAAAGTTAGTCGTTAATGTTGTATAAAATTTTTGACATCCCTAATATGTAATTGATAACGTTGGGGCGTTCCTTTTGCTTGTTACCTCGTATCCTGGTTTCTTGCATTTATTTTTTGCTTACCTACCTTTTCTGTTTTTTAGTTTTTCTTCTGAAACTTCCATTAACAGAGGATTGTCGGAATAGTGAAAACTTTCAGAACTGATTTTGTCATTCCATAAGATGCATCTCACACCTTTACACTTTCGATTAGCATCATGCATTCCATCTTGTTTTATTTTTATCACATTTTGTCTTGCTTAGGTCGTCTACCTTGTCACATAACACTTTTTGTTCTTGATTAGGTCATTTAATTTATCGCATAAACATTTTCTCTTAGTTGGGCCATCGACTATATCACATAACTTTTTTTTCCTTACATCATCTACCATGTCACATAATCACTTTTTCTTGCTTGAACCATATACCTTATCAGATAACCTTACATTCTGGCGTTGGTGATCTACCTTGTTATATGGACGTTTTACTTCCTTGTGTCATTAAAAATATCACATAACAGTTTTCCTTTTTTTAGGTCACTTACCTTGTCACATAACCACTTTTTCTTGTTTAGGTCACCTATCTTGTCACATGACCCATTTTTGTTGTTTTGGTCACCTACTTTGTCACATAACCGCTTTTTCTTGTTTTGGTCATCTACTTTGTCATATAACCCCTGTTTTCTTGTTTTGTCATCTCCCTTGTCACATAACCCCTTTTTGTTGTTTTGGTCATCTACTTTGTCATATAACCCCTTTTTTCTGGTTTTGTCATCTCCCTTATAACACCATTTTCTTGTTTTGGTCACCTAACTTGTCACATAACCCCTTTTCTTGTTTTGGTCATCTACTTTATCCGTAACCCCTTCTTCTTGCTTAGGTGACCTACCTTGTCCACCTAACCACTTTTTCTTGTTTGGTCTTGTTTTTGTCAACCTTTTTTTTTCTTGTTTAGGTCACCTACCTTGTCCACATGGCCCCCTTTTTCTTGTTTAGGTCACCTACCTTGTCACATTACCCTTTTTCTTGTTTTGGTCACCTACCTTGTCACATAAGCCCTTTTTTCTTGTTTAGGTCACCCCTAACCCCCTTTTTCTTGTTTAGGTCACCTTCCTTGACACATAACCCTTTTTTCTTGTTTTGTCATCTCCTTATCACATAACTCCTTTTTCTTGTTTTGGTCATCTCCTTATCTAACCACTTCTTCTTGTTCCTTATCCACATAACCACTTTTTTTTCATGTTTAGGTCGCCTATCTTGTCCTTTTTTCTTGTTTAGGTCACCTACCTTGTCCACATAACCCGTTTTTCTTGTTTAGGTCATTTCTTGTCATAACCCTTTTTCTTGTTTTGGTCACCCTATTTGTCCACAGGTTGTTTTGGTCACCTACTTTGTCACATGGCCCTTTTTTTTCTTGTTTTTGGTCATCTACTTTGTCATATAACCCCTGTTTTCTTGTTTTGTCATCTCCTTGTCCACATAACCCCTTTTTTGTTGTTTTGGTCATCTACTTTGTCCTATAACCCCTTTTTCTGGTTTGTCATCTCCTTATAACACCATTTTCTTGTTTTGGTCACCTTTTTTTTTTCTTGTTTTGGTCATCTCCCCCCCTTCTTGTCCTACCTTGTCACATAACCACTTTTTTCTTGTTTTGGTCATCTACCTTGTCACATAACCTTTTTTTCTTGTTTAGGTCACCTACCTTGTCACATGGCCCCTTTTTCTTGTTTAGGTCACCTACCTTGTCACATTACCCCTTTTTCTTGTTTAGGTCACCTACCTTGTCACATAAGCCCTTTTTCTTGTTTAGGTCACCTAACTTGTCAAATGGCCCCTTTTTCTTGTTTAGGTCACCTTCCTTGACACATAACCCTTTTTTTCTTGTTTTGTCATCTCCCTTATCACATAACTCCTTTTTCTTGTTTTGGTCATCTCCCTTATCACATAACCACTTCTTCTTGCTTAGGTGACCTTCCTTATCACATAACCACTTTTTCATGTTTAGGTCGCCTATCTTGTCACATGACCCCTTTTTTCTTGTTTAGGTCACCTACCTTGTCACATAACCCGTTTTTCTTGTTTAGGTCACATTTCTTGTCACATAACCCCTTTTTCTTGTTTTGGTTATATACTTTGTCACGTAACCCCTTCTTCTTGCTTAGGTGACCTACCTTGTCACATAACCACTTTTTCTTGTTTTGGTCATCTACCTTGTCACATAACCACTTTTTTTTTAGGTCATCTGCCTTGTCACATATTTTTTTTCTAAATATGCCGCTAACGCGGTGTAAAATTTCTCGTAATAACATCAAGAACATTTTAGATAAAAATTACCAGTAGAAGCAACATTGAGACACCGCATAGCGCTATTCTTTAATTAGAATTTCAATTAGTTCCTGAGCCTGAGAATTCCTTATTCATGATTTCACTACAAAAAAAGAGTTCGTTTTAAAGGAAATTGATTGCAAAAATGGTAAGATTCCAATTTTCATTGACAAATATTCTGTCACCATAAATATGGATATTCTCATTGAAGAAGATCACTAAATCTAAGAAAGGTATTTGCCGAAAAGCAGCAAATACAGTCCGAAATGGTAATTCCGAAATGCTGCATGTATATACCAAAATCAAAATAAAACTTACTTTCATGTATAAATCACACCTGATTATAGAGTAAAGTAAATGACCAAAATTTCTGAAAAAGAAAAAAAAAAAAAAAAAAAACGGGACTTTTTGTTTAACAACAATGTCAAGGCGTGTTGAAGTCCTCACAATAGTCAGTATTATTGAAACTATCGCTAACACATTTTTTTTTTGTTGAGATTTACAAACTCTACGTTTCGTTCAATTTCGCAAACCAATCAATGAAAATTGAATAAACAGATATGTTTGGAAAAATACATTGACAAAATCCCTACTTTCCGGTTTAATAATTTCTTTAATTTAATTTACTTTCGTAGAAAGTCATGGTAAACATGGTTTCCTTTTTAACAGCGAAGAATAAATTCTTGGGATTTCTTACTCTTCAGCATGCAGCATACAACTGGTCATGCGTAAATATTTCTTTTTGGAGCCAAACTGCAATGTTTTGAAGTGTTTGGCCTTGTGATGTGTTTATAGTTCTCGCAAACGCATGGTGAACTGGAAACTGTTTTTTTGTATATGTATAAACTTAAATAAAATATATGAAAAAAAAACAATATTGCATTTTTATTAAATATGTATTTTTAAAATAGTGGGAGCGTTTTGTATGTTAAATAATAAAAATTTTAATTTTTTTCAAAAAATAAAAATTTATTGTATTAATCTACGCACTCTAGAAAAAAAAGCAACAACTGTATTTGCACCCCCATTACCTGTTTGCACATCTCCAAAAAATTTGGTTTCAATCGATCTGTGTATCGCTATTTTAGAGGGTGTGACGGACGGTCAAATGGAAGTCACAGTATTTTATATAGATTTTGTTATTCGTAAGCAATTTACAAAACGTGATAATGACTTTCATGGTATAAAATCACTAATCTCCAATAGAAATTGAAAAAACAAATCGAGATAAAAGTGAATAAACATTATAATAAATATGATAATAGTAAATAATAAATAATTTGTTTGTCTTTTTGTAATAAGAAATTAAAAGCAAACAATCGAAGTTAATTCGTTCGAAATTATTTGTTTATTTCTAAAAAGGACTCTGTGTGGAATCCAGATCATTTTCCTCTGCTCCTGGGATTCTGAGATCGGAGAATGAAGAGTCGTATCGTCAAACACTTTAAACTTGTCTTCGTCGTTGGGGTGGTAGAACTGATCAAATTCTTTCTCTGTCAGGTTGGAGTACAGATCTGTGTAGAAGGCATCGCCGGCGAGATTGTCGTCGTCGTCGTTGTCATCGGTTCCTTGTACTTCTATTGACCCGAGTGTCTGTATGAATTCCTCGTATAAGATGTCATCTTCGGTGACGTCGATCTTGTTCGAGATGCAGCATTTCTTGAGAGCTCTGACAATAATAGCGACGTCTAACTCTTACCAGGCGTCGACGATCCACTTGCAGATGTCTTCAATCTTGGGTTTTCTGATTCTGCCTCCAGATGTGTAGGCGTGGTTTATTTCCGTTTGTTGCAATACGCCATTTGATATTGTCATTCCGGTAAATAAATAAATCCAGTCTGACTCGATTTTGTCCGCTTTGAATCGTGGAAATATGGGATTGACTTCTGCACTAACGTATAAGACGCGGCAAACTTTTCGATATGATTTTAGGTAAAAAAATCTGCCTCTTCTACAAACAGTATTATAGTAATTAATATTAATATTAATAATGGTAATCAAAAATTAATTAATATTAATAATGGTAATCAAAAATTAATTAATATTAATAATGGTAATCAAAAATTAATTAATAAATAATGGTAATCAAAAATTAATTAATATTAATAATAACAATAGGAAACATTTATGGATTCTTGTGTAAAACGAAAGGTTGACAATCATAGTTCACATATCTGAGATATTTACTGATCTTAGAATTCTATATTTATTTTTAATGACTAACTGTACTTGGTAACAACTACGCCACGTCAAATCACTACATTATAGCCGATGTTCTTATTTGCTAAAGATAATTTGATTT